GGGCAGCTGTGGTGGTTAAGACAGCTGTGGTAGTGGTTGGGGCAGCTGTGGTAGTGGTTAAGACAGCTGTAGTGGTGGTTAAGATAGCTGTGGTAGTGGTTAAGACAGCTGTAGTGGTGGTTAAGACAGCTGTAGTGGTGGTTAAGACAGCTGTAGTAGTGGTTGGAAGAAACAGTCACAACTGATCAGTCTGAAGAGGAGGTCACTGGTGCTGAAGCTGCTCCTGCTGAATCATTCCAATGGAATGATCCAGTGGAAGGAGTTGCACCCATCTCTCCCAAACATCCCTGATGGGACCAGTGACCTCCTCTTCAGACTGATCAGTTGTGTCTGTTTCTTCCAATTGGTACTCCACATCATCTTCGTTCTCAGAGGCCTGCTCATCTCCATCGCTAAAATCCTGTGTGTCCTCTGCCTCATTTGCAGCAAAGATGTGATCCAAAGCTTCATTTACAGTGAATCTTCTCCTCATTGTTGCATCCTGTGAATTGGTGAATTGGAGATGTATACTCTGCAAGTCACCACGTCTACACTCAAATGGCTTGACAAGCCTGGACATGTCTCCCTTTGTTTGTTCTTGCAAAAAGGCAAAGAGAAAAGCCCATAAATGAACTTCAAGTGGTTGGAGGAAGAGGCTGTTGGTTGATTGTGTGTTTATGATTTAATTTTTGGCATTTTTTTTATTGTTTTATAATCGAAAATTTTAACCGGGTCACTAATGACCCGAACACCACAAAAGTCATTTTTTTCACCAGAGCACTTTATAATTTAGTAAAAATATATATATATATTTTACTTTGTTTAAATGGAAGTCCCTGACAAAGTCAAAAAGTTTCAACGCAAAAAACAAATGTATGAAGTACTTTTATGCATGCTAAAACTCAAAACGGGTCCGTAGGGACCCTAACACCGTAGGAAGGTTAAGAGAATTTCCACAGCATTTTATGTCAGGGATCAACGTAAAGTCTTCTGAATGCAATGCATCTCCCTTTACATTTAAAGCACCACTTCAGGCTGGTCTGATTTACGAAATCCTGATAAAACACTTTCAGATTTGAGTTTAGAAGGAGACAAAATGGAATTTAAAATGTATTTATAGAATCTCATTATAAGATGTAGAAGCAATTAATGTGTGTTGCAATTTCAGATTTAGTTTTATTTCACAGATTTCATTGATCAGCTTTTTTTTTAAAAGGGTTTGTTCTTAGTCAGAAAACAACATCCAGTTTCCTGCTGGGCAATATTTAAATCCTAAGATTAGCTTGATGTCCGGGAACCTTCAACTTTTTGTGTTCTTTGGTGTTAACCATCAGCTATTGTTCACACAGCAAGTGTTGCAACAGCAATGCTCAGTAAAAAGTTTGTTATACTATCACTTCAGAGACATAATTACATTCCAGTGTCTCACAGTCTGACGGTAACTATTCCTCCCAGGTATGTGGCTGTGGTGAGCTTCTAAGATAGATAAATATCTGGGCTGGCCACATTTTTATTAGTCACGTTGCACCATATAGTGAAGATCTAATACAACATGCAGGCAACCAGCTCCCACAATAAGGTATAGTTATGTCTTTGGTGATTAAAATGGTAAAATGAGGATGAAGTAGAAGACAGTCTAATTAGGCTGAAAGTTTGCAGGTTTGTTTTTTCAAAACATGCTTTAATTCTTCAGTTTTTCATTGAATATTAAATGACAATCCAAGATAAAATGAATATATTTTCCTTCTCAGACTTGTTTGATTTGAACATTCATCTTTACATATAAACATTACTGGAAATCACAGATCAGCAACTCAGAGAAAGGTAGAAAAACTAAGGCTGTGTAGAAATAAATCCAATGTCCTTGTTGGCTGGAAACAGAATCTGAAAACAAAAATCTGGCAAATTTATGATGCATACATAATGGTTCAGGTATGAGTTATGTACACAGTGGCAGTTCGTTCAAATATCGCCGTTACATTAGTTCTGATTTGGGATTTTTTCCAGACTTTTGTTCATATTAATTTAGTTGAGCCATTGCATGGTTGATCAGTTATTCCCTTTGCTTCTGGATGCTGTTCAGCTGGAAGGATTTTTTTTCTGTTTTCATCTGGAACAGTTTTTATGATGTAAAACTGAGTTGAAGAGGCTTCATGGATGCAGAAACAATGAGGAAGTTCCTTCCATCACTTCCAACCATCATAATGTCCAAGGATCACATCCCCTACTCCAGCATCATTCTAGGCAGAGATGTACTGAGGAGTGCCAAAAGCAAAGGAGGTGGATGAGCAGTGCTCAACAGCTGATCAGCTATTCACCATCTGGATATTGAGCTGCTAGCCTGTCATGACACTAATGAAGCCGTCACATAGCAGCAGCCTTCAGTCAGAGGCCTTTTCAGATTTGTTGTAAGACTGACTGCTGCTGGAAATCCTTCAAGCCCACAGCGTCAATATCCATAAGGACTCTCTGTGGATACTTTTACAACATTTAATGTTTTCTGTCATAGTTTAAAGTGTCAAAAGCTGATTTTTTAATCCAAAACTGCTCCAACTCCTCGACTCTGATGAAGTCATTAGTTGTTCAGCAATTAAAACTGTTGCTGGTTGCTGTGGAATAATGAGCATGAAAACCAGGTATTTGTTCAATTCTACACCTTAAAAACTGATTGGTCACAAATTTCTAAAAAATAAAAATGAAGGTGAAAGTGTGAGGATTCAGGTTCCTGTGTTGTGTTTTGGTGTAATTAGTGCCTGAGGCGTTTGTGTTGCCCTGCGACAGTCTGGCGACCCGTCCAGCTGACCCCGCCTCTCGCCCGAAACGTTCGCTGGAGAAAATTAAATATGAAAATCAATGCTGGTTGTTGATCTATCAACCATATCAGAAATCAATCAATAACATCTCAGGTTGAAGAGTTGGTTTCTATTTTCAACAAGCAACAAAAGCTTCACATTCAGTAAGTGATTTATGGCTTCTGTAAGCCTCCTTTAAAAATAAAAAAACAAAGTGGAGGCAAATGTTTTCTTTGTTATGATAAAAGCTGTGTGTGCAAGAACAGCTGATGTTTAATCACATGTCTGTTGAGTTTTTCATCTGTGCTCATAAATACATTCATTGTTGCAGGTGCATTGTGTACACACCTTAAATTACTGAGAGTTGCTGACTCGGCTCAGCAAACACATTCCAAGACGTGGCATGTATCAAACGTTTGTGAAGAAACCAGGAAACGATCCTCGGTCAACCTGAGGACTCAGAACTGAGGTGAGTTTAGATGCAGCTGCAAACAGAGCAGAGCTGCTGGAAGTTAAACACAACAGGCGCAGCTGCAGGTTTCACACAGCGTTACGGTTACTAATCCAAGCAACTCTGAACTGGTTGGGTTTAAAGGAGCTCAGTGTTTCAGCTGAAATTTGCTCCAGAGTTATGGTGCACAGAAGCTGAATGCTGCTTCTCCATGTTTGGTTCTGGTTCTGCATCCTCAGAACCAGAAGACCTGAGAGGCCTGAAGGTTGATTCAGCAACAGCAGATCTTTAAGTTTGATTATTTTTAACTGATAATCAATGTGGAGTTGGTTTGTTTCCATTTCCATAATTTGCTTCTTTTGTATAAAAATACGACATCGAAAGAAAGAAACTAAAATCTGAAATAAAACTACATCTTTCATCTTATCTGATGTTATCAAATATATTTCTAATTAGATTATTAATTTCTAGCTATAAAATAAATATTTAAATATTCTCAATAAAATAGTTGAGAGATGAAATGACTGAACTAGTAAAAGTGGTTTGGTTGGATCTTCTTCCTTTTTCTCACCTTGTTGGTGTAGAAATCAGTTTAAAATATTCCAAAAATACAGGAATGGATATGATGTAATTTTTTTTATTTTAAATCTGTCAAGAAATGCTCAGCAGATTTTTTTTTGGGCTCTAGTGGTCTTTATTTGATAGTTAATTAACAGGAAAGTGGGTAATGAGAAACGGGGGAAGACATGCAGTAAAGGTCGCCAGGGCCGGGAATCGAACCTGTGACAGCTGCGTCTAGGACTGAGGCCTCCATATGTGGGTTGTGCTGAACCCCTGAACCACCACAGCACAATCCAACATGATTTAATTTTTAATTTATACACATGGCAGGTGTTCAGTCAAAGCAAGGATAGAAGAATTTATTATAAATATAAGCTTTTACATCCTGGAATAACTTAGAGGCTTTCATAATGGGTGTTTGAATTAAATGTAGATTTTAGTTTACTCAGTTTATTTATTATTTATTTTAATCTGTAGGAATGTTTTGACCCCCCCTAGTTTTTCCTTAATTCTTTTTTTTTTTTTTTTGCTCATTCTTTTCCTTGTTTAACTAATTTTTTGTCAGTTTTCTTTTTGCTTTTCCTTGTTTTTGTTATGTAAAACGTTTTTTTTATTGCCTTTTGCATGAAGAGGCTTAAAGAATTTTATTTACAGTGTTCTATTTTCTGTTATGTTTGAAAGAGAAAATGTACAAATTAAATGTCATAGTGCCTTCAAACCTGATAAAAATATTCGCTTTAAGTGACGATGTGTCGCAATGAGCAGCTACAGACATTACTCTGACCTCCAGCGCCCCCTGGTGTTGTGGCTGCAGATTGTAATGAGTACATATATCTTCTTTAGTTTTCACTGGATTTTAAGGAAACAGCAATTAATAATTTGTTTGATTTTAGTTTTAATACCTTTGCTTCTAGGCATTTAGAGAAAATATAAGTTCAAAACAGAAGTTTTTATGTTTTAGCTAAAATAAGACATTTGACGGAGTTGATCATATGAATTTGATTTAAAAGATAACTAAACTTGTTTGGCTAAATTTTACGCTACTAGAAATGCTGTTTATTTCTCGTTAAATAGTGTCGCTTTTCATTTGTCAGGAAAGTTGCCTGTGTTTAGTTTGCAGAGCCGAGTTTGTTTGTTGCATCCATTAAAGATTAGCCAAATCCCTTTAACCAAGCTGCTTTTGGTGGAGGCAGTGTGGAGGGTAACAGCCTTACTGTTGCCCTGTGGGGGGTAACAGTAAGGCTTGTAATTGCAGGAGGAAAACTCAATGTAAGAGCTACAGCAATGACAATTAACAGCAATAATTTGGGTTATTTTTTTCTGTTGGAGAAAAAAATGGAGCTTCATTAACTATTTGGTTTAATATTTAGCTTAGAAATTAAATATTTAGATTGAAACTGACATTTATGAATGAACAACATGGTGGAAAATGAACCACCATTTTTTTCTCTTATAACAGAAAAAAATAACCCAAATTATTGCTGTTCATTTGTTTAGCTTCACAGTTGGAGTCCCATACATTACTTTTTTTTGTTAGTAAATGAAAAATAATAGTTAAAAACAGCTTCTGATTTTTCTTAAGTAAATGGACTGGATTTATGTAATATTTTTGTGAAGTACTTTTCATCATACTTTCACTGAAGCCACATTCACACATCCACACGTACAAATACACACACATTTATACATTTATACACCAATACTTAGATCTGAAGATAATATCAACAAAACCTGATCAGATTTTGTTGCTCGGAGGAATCTGTTCAGATCTTCAGGTTGGGATTCCTTTTCTCTCCAAATGTCCAAATAATCTCATCATTATTGTCAGAATTTCAGTTCAACTGAATTAGAAACATGAAATAAGCATTAAACACTCCACACAGGCTCCCATAAGCTTTTTATTACATAACCAACGAACGTATACGTAAAGCCCTTCTCTTTTTACTGTAGGAAAAATGTAAATCTTAACATGAAGTCCCTTAAAATGCTGGATTTAGTTTCCATAACCAGACAACCTAATCAGGCCATACAAACATTTGGAGCTGTTGACGAGCAGAGGAAGCAGCATGAAGGCATCCAGCTGAACGTGTTTCAGGTGCAGCAGCATTGCTGCAGGTGAAGTGGAACCGGGTCGGAGATCCGATCAGCTGGTTTTTCTCACGCTCAGCAACTGAAAGCAGCTGATTCATTTACATCTGTCGACTTCTGCTGCCAAGAAAACTGTGATCTGTAAATCTGAAGCACTGAAAGCAATTTTAGCTCAGAAGTTCCTCTAAAATATTGTTTGCAAAGCAAAATAAGTTTTGATTTAACCGATAAAAACTCCCAAATTATTATGTCAGATTTAGATAAAATATCTTAAGGCTGCATGAAAAAAGGAAATATGAATTAAAGGAGACACGTTACTGAAACCTGATAGTTGAAGGTCTGAACTCAAAAAACAAGCTTTTATTTTTGTTCAGAGGCGTCCGGCTTCAAAGATCTCAGTGATCAGCTGAAATCTGGAGTTTAGACTGAGTTGGAGCTAACCGGCCATTTTGGTTAGTGACTGAAATACAGTTTGATTGTTTGGCTAAAAGAAACTGGATCTGATCAGAAATCAGGTTTTATTTGATACAAACTAATTCTGGGCTGGTCTAAAAATACATTAAGCAAAATGAAATCCTTTTTTCCTGGAGAGGAATAAAATGTTAAATGCTGAGTGAAAAAAAAACATGAAATAAGCAAACTTATTGGGCCAGTTATTAACAGTTAGTTATCACAGTTATTTCTGTACTTAGAAACAAAATATCTTAATTGGTTTTTACACTAAAAAGTGGTTTGGATTGAAACTTTTCACTGTTTTCTGTAAAACCAGGTGAAAAAAGAAAAGAACTGAGTTCTGATTCTGATCAAACCTGATCTCAGACCTTGGTTGGGTAAAAAAGATGGTTTAGCTTGTCTCCTTTAATTCATCTGTTTTCCAGAGGCTCTCAGGGAGCCGTTTATTTCTCAAACTCGTCTTCAATGAGAAAGCTCTGGTCTTCAGCTCTCCTCCTCCTGCTGAAGTAGCGGACCACCACGGCCAGCAGAACCAGCGACAGGACGAAGCCGCTGCCGAACACCACCGTGGTGATGTTGGAGGCAAACACCTCCCTGAACCTCCAGGTTTCTCCGTCCGATCTGGGTTCTGGAACAACTCCTGGAAAATTCCCTGGAAGACATCAGGAAAATGTTCAGTTTTTACTCACACAGGAAACCTGACCGTCAGGTCGCTCAGACTCTAACCTTCAGGAGCCGTGTCACTTTTCGGAGCTGCATTTATCTTCTTGTGCTCCGCTGGAGAACTGGGACCAGCTGGCCCAACCACTTGCAGAGGACCCTGGGTAATGTAGTGCCCGGTGGTCTCCATGCTCAGCCCTCGTCTGCGACGGCGGGACGGCTCGCTCAGACATCCCTGCGCACATCGGGAAAAGGGATTCCCAGGCTCGCACAGGATGACGTTGCAGATGATGTAAACCTGAGGTGGAATGTGAAGAACAGGAAACAAAAACAAGGATTTCCTTTACTGTTGACCAAAGGATCTCTGGAGTTTGATTTGGTTGTCCTGTTGCCACTCCCAGGGTGGGATCTAAAAATATTTTGATGTGATTCATAGTTTACATTTATAGTTTAATAGGATCAGAACCAAACAGTTCAAGCATCTCCAGCAGCTACATTCCTCACAATCAAAGCTTTTTATTAATAACTTAATTGGTTCAAATCTTACCTAAAGAACAGAGACTTCTTTGTGTCAATAGGAACAAGCAAAAGTCACATGTGGGATACCACAAGGCTCAGTCCGACAACCCCTCATATTCAGTATCTACAAGCTCTATGTTTCGAAGCACCGGCTGACTCTGAATGCATCCACCTGGGTGTAGTTAAAGACTCAATCCTGAACCTTCAGAGACACATAAAGACGGTTAAAAAGTCAGCCTTCTGTCACCTGAAGAACATTTCTAGGATTAAAAGGCTGAGGTTCCAGTAAGACCCTCATTCTCCTGTAGCTCAGAGAACAGATTTTAAAAATTGTTGCCACTGAACAGCTTAAAGATCTGCTGCTGTTGTATCGACCTTCCTGACCGCTCAGGTCTTCTGGTTCTGGTTCTGATCTGTATCCAGAACCAGAACCAAACATGGAGAAGCAGCATTCAGCTTCTGTTCACCATAAATCTGGATTAAACTTCCAGAAAACTGAAAAACAGAAATCTAGACTAAAAACCTGCCTGTTTAGAGTTGCCTCTGATTCATAACAACTGGAACTTTGTTCAACATATTTGACATGTTTTGATGGTTTTGTTGACTGATGTTTGAACTGCCTTCACTAACAAATCCTTTCCACTCCAGTAAGCTTGTTTGGGATGAATGTCCAGCTAGCATGTGGAATCTCTTGAGGACGATAAGTTGGCGTCAGCTTTCAGGCGTTTATCTGATTAATCACAGTGTGGCTGGATTAAATTTGATAAATAAAGACCTTTGGGTCAAATAGGATTGTTGTAGACAGTGAGACGAAGGTTGAGTTACTTGGCCACAGTGTCAAAAATGTCAGGTGGTGAAGTTGAGGTGGTGGCAGCATCATGGAGGGTTTTCCATGAAGTGGATGTATTAGTAGAGAACAAAGTTCCAGTAGCCGGATGGTATAAGTTTGGAAGGCTCTGGGTTTTCCTCTCAGACCTACCTGGTCATAATTTCCGTTGAATTTAAAGGCTTGGATCTCAAAGTTGAAGTTCGTCTGGTTTGACGGGTGGATCTTAACCGTCTCGTCTTTGACACACCTGGAAGACCACAGATGAAAAACGTTTTTCTGAGCGTCCTCAGCGAGTGTTTCTGAGCAGCAGGACTCACCCGTTCTTGATGAGGTCGTAGTACATGGGGTTGTCAGGGTTGTTGTCTGGAGTTCCTTTGCACGACTCGACAAACAAGGTGACGTTTGGCAGCTCCGACACAGCCTGGATGCCCATGTAAATCATCTCCATCATCTTGACCTGCACCGGGTAGGCGTCGGGCGACACCCTGCTGGTGAAGTTGCCGTCCTGGTATATCTCGAAGCTGTAGCCGAAGCTGCCAAAGCTGGACTCGGTGAAGATGTAGTCGGCCTGGTGGAGGTTGTAGAAGTTGGAGACGCTGATGGTTTTGGGAAACTCGCAGTAGAAGTCGATCTTGACATTGTTCCTCCGGATGATGATCTCGTTGGACCGCACGATGGAGTGGATCTCGTTCTTAAAGACGATGTAGTCTCCTTTGTCCTGTTTTCAGGTGAAACATCAGAGTGAAAAAAGCGAAGCGGCAGAGAGGAATCAGGCCGAGGTGGTTCTGATTTATTCCACACCTCCAGCTTTGTGCCACAGGTGCTGAAGGACATGGTTCCCACGATGTGGGTGCCGTTGGTGGTGAGCGTGCACGACGGGTCTCTGAGTGACAGAAACTCCTCACTGATGTCTGGCATGGAGGCTTTCTCCAAGGCCACCGTCATCTTGTTGGGCAAGCAGGTAACAGAGGCTCTGCCTGGAAATCACAGGAATAATGTGATCATTAGGCCTGTCACAATAAGCAATTAATCAATTAATCACATGATCAATTAAAATAAGCTCAATCATTTCCATTTGCATGATTTCCTGTTTTTCTCTCTCTACTAAAAACTGGATGATGAAAGTCTTCAGTTTGGTGCTTTGCTCTCAACTGATTCCTTTTTTTGAAGGACAGTTTTGTTTCCAGAGACTTTATGATTCATTTTATTTATTGTTTCTGTTGTTTTGTTTAAATATCTTCCAATTCCAGTGTTAAATGTTCACTAGAATTTAAACTGTATTAGTCTTTGAGAATGTGCTCTTGCATTGTTTTTCCATTATCGTTACATTACTTAAAAATGGTCTCCAAACAACAACACAAGAGTTCTGGTGGAACGTAGACAGAACTCTGACCTGAATATTGAATAATTATTAGATGAATGGACAAACTGAATGCAGGAATGGAAACAACTGCTGGGAGGAAGGATCTGTGGTAACGCTCCTTTGTGCACCTCAGATGCAGCAACATGTCACTGATCAAGTTCACTTTGATTTAAGGTGAAGAGTTTGGACGTTTTAAATACTAGATGATCTCCTGCATCATTGGACTATTGGTCATATCATATTTTCTTTGCGTTCTGCTCTCAGCTCAGCACATTGGTGCTAACGCTATGTTAGCGCAGCTAAATACGTTTTACACAAATTCATTGTCAAAATAACACTGTAAAAATTTGCAGCAAAATATTTAAGCAGAAGGTAAAATAAGGATGACAGAAGAGATGTGATAAGTGTGATACAATAAAAACATTTATGAGAACATTTGGTTCATCATGGCGGATCTTCACCTCTTTACAACTTCCTGCTTATGCTCTCTTATAGATAGATAGATAGATAGATAGATAGATAGATAGATAGATAGATAGATAGATAGATAGATCGATCATCATCTTCTTGAAGATGATGGGTCCCTGCTATCCTTCTGGTTTATGTGTGTGTGTGTGTGTGTGTGTGTGTGTGTGTGTGTGTGTGTGTGTGTGTGTGTGTGTGTGTGTGTGCGTGTGTGTGTGTGTGTAATGTTTTATTGTTATTAGGAACAAACCTTGCAGGGCGCCAGTATGGGTCACCGTGACAACGACACATCTCATCTCTGATTGGCTGTGGGATGAAAACAAAACAAGTTGGAGCCATTTTGAAACCAGTAGAATTAGATAACATCTAAATAACGTGGAAAAAATGAGTCCTGCTTGGTGAGTTTGGACTTTTTGTTTCAGTTTCATTTTTAGATGCCAAAGCTACAACCATTGTTTTCTAGCAGATTTCAGATCAGTTTTGATCATAATTATGACAACTTTTTGTTTTGTTTTATGAAACATTGCGACTCGACTACAAACAGCCAACACTTATCAGCCTCAGTCCAGTCCAATTTACTTCTTAGAAATTTTCAGATTTTATCATTTAAACATCAGTTCAAGCTCCTAATTTAACACTTTATTTATTTATATTTGGAAATGATATGTTGAAAATTTGGCACCAAACTTTTTGGTTTCACATCTTATTAACCTTAATTTATTCTCTAATATTAATCTACCTGCTGTCCAGTATTTGCATTATTTCCACAATAAACATCAGTGTTTAATTATTTTGCAGCTGTTTACTGTTCAGTACAGCAGTATTTTAAATTATACTTTTATGTTTTTAACAATGACGTATCAGGGCCATTGTAAAAAAGGAGTACACTTTGTACAAAAATTTCAGAAATTTTGAGATTAATCTAAAAAAATTGTATAAAACTTATGGAAAATTTCTGAATTTGAAAAGTCAAACATTTCCCAGAAGATTTCTCAGAAGTCTTCTAAAAAAATTTAATTTCAGAGTTTGAAAAATGACAAATTTTCAGAAATCTCCCTTTTTTTTATATCTATAATGGTCCAAACACACAGTTAGAAAAATGCTAATCTTTTAAAAATTAATCACTAATTAGTTAGTGTTAACTGTGATTTTTATGCATATCCAAAGGTGTTTAAGGAACTAATGAGATTAAAATTTAATTAAAAATGATAAAACTCTCATCCTGAACGTCACTGGTCTGCTGAACAGCAGCTGCAGAGAAAACCAGGACGTTTCTGTGTAATGAAATTACTCACGTTATCGCCGTGTCTGCAGCGAAACAAATCGGGACGAGTTTGTTGGCGTCGCTTTCCTTCGGGGTCCAGCGCAGAGTGACCTCTGCTTTCCCGTCCGACCCGCTTCTGAACTCCTTGGTCACGTTTTGGGGGCCGCTGACCTGGAAGCCCTGGATCCTTCAGAGGAGTAAACAGGACAGGTGTGTAACAGCATGCAGAAATGTTGCAGGAAGCGGCGTTGCGGCGGTCCGTACTGCGCGTTTTGAGCCTGGGCCTCGGCGTAGAGCTGCAGCGTCTGACCCACGCTGGCGTGGAGAACGTCTCCATGCGACGGCGTCCGGGACAGGAACATGGGCAGAAGGTCACCGGCCACGCAGCTCGATGTCGGAGAAAGGACTGAATCAAAAACACAGAAAAGATTTAATCAGAAGTGACAAATGGGTCAAAAACCATGAAGCCGTTTGATGTTATAAATGTAAGAAATGTTTTAGATCAAATATGATTATATCACCTTCTCCATTTTTCTGCTGCCTTTTTTATTCAGCTTAAAGCCTTTGATATAAAATGTTCTTTTATTTATTTATAAATAAAAAATAAATAAACAAACAATATAATGTAGTATAATTATAATAATTTATATTTAATATAACGAGAGACTATTCAGCAAAATAAAGTATTTTTTATGAATTGTCTTTAATCACTATTCATTTAATACTGTAATCTGTACATGAAAACAACTCAGGGATATTAGTGAGAAATCAGTGATGTGTCATTTTTTTCACTGCCGTTTTTAGTGGTTTATTTGGCTAAATGAGTCGTTTGTTCAGCGGGTGAATTCCTCACCGTCCACCACGAACTGCAGCTTCAGCCTGCAGAGCGGAGGCAGGCTGGTGCTGGAGGCCTCCCGGGTCGCCGTACTTCCGTCTGCGTACGTCAGCGTCACGTTTTTGGTGGAGAAATCCTCCACCGTCAGTTCAAACACGTGTTGGCCAAGTTGGAGCTCACCTGAGCCTCTCAGCGTACAGGTACTCTGAAAAATGAGTATTTAAAATGAAAAATGGCTGACAATCATCTTCTGATGGTTCTACCTGTAAAACTCTCTCTATGTATAAAATACTGTGAGGTTGAAAACTGTATCCCACATCAGATCGGGTCAGATTACCTCGTCCAGAGTGAAGTTTGCTGGGGCGCCGGAAGCGAAGCGGCATCTCACCACGTCTTCATCTGGATCATGAGCCAGAAGGCGAAGATGGGTGAAGCAGTTCTGAGAAACCCTGCAGGAACATTTTCATTCCCCATCAGGTCAAACTCTGTACTTTTCAATCACATTTCCCTAACAAGCCGTGTTAGATGAAACCAGACGGTTTCCGGTACCGTAAGGAAGCCACGGTTGCGGTGACGGGACAGTTGTTGATGCGGTAGGAGTCTGATCTGACTCCCAGGTCCAGCTCTGCGTGGCTCTCCCAGTTGGATTTGTGCTCCAGATTATTGTCCCAGCAGCAGCCGGAGCCTCTGAGAGTAAAGAAGTCAAAACCAGGATGTGAAAACATCATCATCGTTCATCTAAACACTATATATTTTTAAAGTTTTTCTTTTCATTTCTCCAAATAAATCCAGTCACTGATAGTCACTCTACTACTGCCCCCTGGCGGCCAACATAGGAGAAAAACATGATTTTTTTGTGTATTATGTATATTAAGCTAAAAAAGGTTGGATTACATGGAATGACATTATTTAATATATCATATAAAAGACATCAATATTTTCAGTTTATTTGCAGAAAGTCAATTCCCTAAAGTCACTAAAACATTGATTGTATTATTATGAATATTATGATTTTTAGTAGTTTTGATTATTGCATATTACACACATTTACTGCACCATCCATGGTGCACAAAGAAGCGTTATCACAGATCCTTCCACCTCAGCAGCTGTCAGAACCATCACTGCTCCCAAAAATCTCAACAAGTCGTTAAAATTTAAATTATTGTAAATATTCTTTTGCTTAATGCACTATCAGCACGAACATATTGTATGTTTTAATTCCTCTATCTAGTTACTTAGTTACTTAGTTATTATTGTATGCTACCTTTTAAATAACTACACAGCTTTGTTTTCTAATCCTGTAAATTCGCCCATATACTCTCTTATTCCTATTTTTCTGTTTTCACATTCATACCTTTCTGTAAATTTACATCCTTCTGTCTGTTAAAAAGTAAAGGATACTTCTATCCTATTTAATGTTTACTGTCTTATACATATTTTATAGTAACATGGATTTTATGTAAAATGATGGAGAATAAATAACTATGAGAATAAAGCAAAAATAATATGATACAAGAATAAACTTATATTGCCAGAATAAAGCCACAATATTAGGAAAATGAAATAGTACCTTTATGATAACATGAAAAATAAAGCATTAAAAAGAGGAATGTTGAGCATCTTGTAAAGTTATTCTTTGGAATCAGTTTTACAAATACACTGGATCTTTTAACACATTTTAACGGCTTTATCCTCACAGCTTTAAAAGAAAATCTCTTTTGGCCTCAATACTTAGCAGGAAAATGTTCTTTAACTCGAGCAGTTGAATGTATGGCCAAGCTAAACGTCATAATTTACCTTATACTAATAAACCATCTCATACTAATACCAGTAATAATAACTGAGTCGTCTGAGAACAAAATGTTCTGCAGAAGTTTTCAAAAGAAAGATCTGCATGACCTGAAAGCTTTCTGGTAAATTGTAAATATGAGGAAGCGTCAGCTGTTGTTATTCTCTGCCTTTGTTCTGCCAAAGCTGTCAGCCAAACAAAGACATTCAGGTGTTGATGTGACAGCGAGTTGGATGGAAACTCAGAGGGGCAACAATCCACCGCATTTCTCAGGGTGTGGCAACTTTAAACTCTTTGCTTTCTTTGAAATAGAAAGTACTCCTGGATCAGGGCTTCTTCGTGTTTTCATCTTTCTTTTCTCAAACCTCCAGTGGGTCAAAGAAGATGGCTGCTCATACTGAGTCTGGCTCTGGTTCTGCTGGAGGTTTCTTCTTGTTAATGAGGAGTTTAACTTTCCACTGTCGCCACATGCATCCTCAGGATGAGAGATTGCTGCTAAGTCAGCGATTTGATGCAGTAAAATGAAACCGATTTGAATAATAAACTGAACCTGAACGATGATCATATCAGATGAACCAGAATCTGGAATGAAATGCCTGCAGATGACATGTGCATTTATACAACATGAATAAACTGAATGTAATCAAATGCCACCTGTCGTCTCTTGTCGGATCCTAGTTGTATGTCATATGTTGTATTGTCTAGTGCTTTGCCTTCTGCTCGTTGGACTGCTCTGAGATGAACCTTTCATTATTAAAATCATCATTCATCTTCAACCTGGGTCTGCCTGCGAATACCTCACCACTACACACCGCCAATTCATGACGCTTACTCAAAGTTTTGTTATTCTATTCTGTTATTAATGTGACAGATTATTTTGTGAAAATATTTAAGACAACAGAGAAGTCGTTAAAAGTTGGGATATAATCTTCCCAGTGTTTCTAGTATTCCCAGTGTTCCCATTCAGAGACTCATATTCAGTTATGAAAGCAACAGAATAAACAGATAAGATTATAAACCTTCTGCCTTTTGGGGCATCAAGAAGCTGTAACATGTAAATAATAATAAATCTGATGTGAATTAAAAATATAAACACTTTAATTCATTTAAATGTTTATTTGCCTACTGATGTTGGATCAGCTGATTGTAGTTCAACAGTAACTAGGTTTAGTTTTTATTTTCTCACTGAGTTTATATTTTCTGAATTTTCACTTTCAATACAAAAATAGTCATGCTGTGCATTTCTGCTGTTTTTTTTATTTCATTTTGTTTATTGTACTTTATTTTTTGAGTCATTGAAGCAGCCGCCCCTCAGCAGTTGGCGCCCTGGGCAACAGCCTGTATGGCAGCTAATCTGCTGTCACCGATTTCTGCAGGAAACTGAAACATGCAGATAAACCTGGATCACAGAACTGGTCAGTTCTGGTTCTGGTTGGTCAGTTCTGGTTCTGTTTGGTCAGTTCTGGTTCTGGTTGGTCAGTTCTGGTTCTGGTTGGTCAGTTCTGGTTCTGTTTGGTCAGTTCTGGTTCTGTTTGGTAAGTTCTGGTTCTGTTTGGTCAGTTCTGGTTCTGGTTGGTCAGTCCTGGTTCTGTTTGGTAAGTTCTGGTTCTGGTTGGTGAGATCTGGACTCACCTCAGAATGAAACTTGTCCCATTGGGCTGGAACGTTGCTGTTGTGCGTTCTTCAACCTGGCACCATCTGCCCAAAGAATCCTGGTCTGTTTGGACCGCAGCCGACCGGTCCAGGTCCGAACACACCCCACCATCACAGAGCAGAGCCGACTGGTTCTGACAGCTGGTTCTGCCGTTTTGTCGGTGGTAGAAAGTCACCTGCAGGGTTTGAAAAACATAAACTAAACATCCAGGTGTTTCTGGAAAACTTCATCCTGATGTCTTGGATTTATTTCTTAGGACTTTTGTTGCTTTTTCACTCAGTTTATCCCAATAAATTAGATATTTGGTTGTTTGTTACCAGTCAGATAAATCTATGAAAATATGAAAATGTTGGACAGCCAGAAAATATGATTTATGATGCAGCTGCTGGGTTCTGGCTCAGGACTTTTCTGGGTTTTGCCCCTTTTTTTAAGCATCATCAGGCAGAACAGGTCAGACTAAATGGGTTCAGCTGAGGAATAATGAGGTTTAGGAACTCAAAGTGAATAAAAAAACAAGCCAAGTCCAGAGAAAATCTTCAGACAACTGATGATGAAGAGCAGTTTAAAAGATTAGAGGAATGAAAGTGAAGAGAAACGGGAGCTTGATCACAACTACAATCATAATCTGATTAGATTTACATCAGAGATTGTAAAATAAATTATTTGACCTGGAAGTAGCTTCCAGGTCAAACCTAAACTGTTTTCCTTCAGTTTAGGTTTCATCTCAACAGGCTGAATAAGATTCAAAGACATTTTGTTGACATAAGTCATTTGATGCTTGACAGCAGGGTGACACGCAGGTGTTCAGCGTGCCAAAAATCACTCCTTTTGTTTATTTCCCTGTCTACCTGACGTGGCCGTTTCGTTTCTCCAGTTAGGAAACAGACTGTAGTATCTCCAACAAACTGAAACTTCAAATGTGACATAAAATCCTTTATGATTTGTTTTAGTCCTGGCTAATGAAGCTTCAGGATTTATTCCTGTCTTCAGTTTGATAGAACTGAATTAAATGAAACATTCAGAATCTGAATCAGCTCTGTGTTTAGTGATGTTCTGTACCTTGTACGTCCCATCTGCGTTCTGCTGCAGCGGCGCCAGGCTGATGCTGTCTCCATAAAAGCTGCTCGCTGAACTGGTCCCCAGCAGGGCCACCAGCAAGAGCACAGCTGCTCCTGCCTCCATGATGCCTCTCCGGTCGGATCTGTTGGTGCCAGAGCCCAGCCAGACACTTTCAGTGCCGCAGACGCAGGAGGCAGGAGGCAGGAGGCGGTTCCCTCGGAGTTCATCCAACAGGTCTGACTGGATCTGAGCTCACTTCAAACCTTTCATGTTGCAGTAAAATACTGTAGTGACAAAGCGTTTTTCAGCTGGGAGATGTAATTAACTGAGCCTAAAGTTATACTCCGCAGGTCCATGGGAAAAAATATTCACTTTTTTCTGCTTTCTTTTATGATTCACATCTGTTTAAAGTCATTTTGGAGAATTTCAATGCCCAGACTTTAACTAGGCCACTCAGATGTAGCCTTACAGGTGTGTTCTGGACCAACAGAGTTTAATCTTAAGGTTACGAACTGGAACATTCACCATGGTTTAGGGCATGCTGCGTTGCTGTTTGAAATCTTCTGTCCTACTTCATGTTGTCAGACTGGCTCTGTTTCATTTATTTATTTATTGACTCTATGGGTCCGGCAGTAATCAGGCCAGAGTGTGATCAGTGAAATAAACATAAATAAGCAGTTTTCAGCTTCTATGCACCACAGATCTGGAACAAACTTCCAGAAAACTGCAAAACTGCTGAAACCCTGAGTTCCTTTAAATCAAGGCTGCAATCCACCTGTTTAACTTTGCTTTTGAACCATAATGAATGGAATATTGATCGACTTATTTGATCTGTATTGATGATCTTGATGATGGCACTCAGCAAAATGTAATGTTTGTTTTCTGGTTTTCTCAACTGGTGACTGTATGATTGTTTATAACATTTTATTTTGTATTTTTATGATTTAAAGCACTTCGAACTGCCTTGTTCCTGAAATGTGCTATACAAATAATCTTGATTGATTGATTGATTGATTGATTGATTGATTGATTGATTGATTGATTGATTGATTGATTGATTGATTGATTGATTGATTGATTGATTGAAACCTGATTTTTGTTTGTATTTTCAGTATTTTCTTCCGCTAATAAAATTTCTTGAAAATGTATGGATGACAAATAGGCTAAACTAGAAGAAACTTTTAAATCTAGTACTTTTTCCAAAGTACTGGATTTAAAATTAATTTAATTTACTCTGTAATCTCTTTGTTTCTTCTTTTGCTCTCCTGCCATTTTAACCAGGAACAAGAGATCCTGAAAAGATCTTCCATTTTATTTATCTGTTTATTTATTTTCAAGCACATGATACAAATCTATCTAAAACTTGCTGCATCTTTGTAACATTATATGGCTGACCAGTAGTTGTTACCAAATAAAACTTAAACATCTTTATGTCATGTTACAGATATAAGGGACATGGCGTCCATATTCATCTCGGTACTGCGTGAGAAATTATGTTTGCAAGAGTTATGAAGGATAACACA